TTTGGATCGTTACAGCTTGTGGTCGACACAGACGTCCACTGTGTAATGCTTCTGATCTGATCTGCAGTTTGGACGAAACCTAAATTCTGCTCGAGTCACACATTTGAAGCAGACAAACTCTTCCCCTCCACAGTTGTCTTGGAACAAAATGTACTCCTTGGCAGTCGGGGTGACGGGATAATTGACCATGAAATCGTCAGTGTTTTCTTTTAAGGCCAGTTTTAAGTTATTTCGAGCTACTTCACAGCTCTGCTTCCCTTTGACAGACGAGTTTTCTGTCCCTGCCGGATGTTGGTTCGGTGCCTTTGGGGAAGAGTTGTTTTTGAGAATTCACAACATTTTATTGGACTATCTTTAATATTAGAGTAACATCAGATTAGAATTTGAGAACAAATCTTTTTGAATTATTGAGCTTCCTACTGAAGCTCTGAGTTGGTCTAGATGTGTCCTCGCTCGGCTTAAAACCAAGGCTATGAATTACAAAACACTCGAGTGCCTCGCAGTATGAATAACAGCACGCCCAGCGAGAGGCAGAGTTCCTGTCTTGGCTATCATGTCACATGAATATTAGAACGCCTTCTCTCAAACGGACTCTTACACTCGCTGAATTATTTACCGTATGCCTGTTGTTTAGTGGAACGTTGCGTCTCTGTTTTAAGAGCCGTGTCGCTGCCACTCTCGCTGTCGCTCTTTTATGGTCAAATACCTTCTCATTTATTTCTGTCCCGTTTAGTCCCGTCCACCGTGACAGGGACGCAGAGCCCCCACATCTGCTGGGTGATGGAAAAAACCACCGGGTGTGAGTTTGTAGAGAGAAACAGACATCCAGCCACTGTTTCGTGCTGAGGTGAAATAAGTACGCTGCATATGGCGGTCATTCATGTCTAATTGCATGAAAAATGAGAATGAGAAAACGTTCCCTGGAGGTTTATTCCCTGACTTTGTTTTTGAAAATGCTGTGGCTCGGGAGGGAAAAACAAGATCTTTATTATTTTTCGACGCGTTGCAGATAAAGCTGGGGTTAAAAGTTGAATAAAAGTGAATGAATTTAATTGGCTGCAGTCCCACACGTCCACCAAGTGATTACGAGCGTTACACACAATCATCAGAGTAAGTAAACCTGCTGCTGATTTAAGAGGCAGTCCCAGAAACCGGCCTGCTCGTGCTACCTTGTGTGTTTTGCATGTGTACGAGGCTGTTCTCATGCACGTCTGCGTGATTTAAAGCCGAGCAGTTAGTCGACTTCAAATAGAAACTGCAAATATGCAATTAAAAAAAAAACAGCAAAGGCTGCAGTTTAGGGTTGTGCGATTGTGTTAAATACGTGGACTAATTCAGTAATTCAGTTTTATATAATCCAAGCATTCAGGCGTGTTTATGCTCCCGTGTGTCCTCTGCTATGACTGACAGAAGCGTCGTCTCGTTACTTACGGTCCACACCTCGTGCATTTTGCAGCAGGTCTGATCCAGAGTTTAAACTGTCGTGTCGGTGGTTTTGCAAATTCATCGTCGTCTTCCTCGCGTGACACTTGATGCGCCGTCACATTTGAAATCACGCCACGCGGTGAATATTTATCTGCTGCTCGACTTAAAGACATGCAGCGCGCATCAAACCGCGCTGTCAGTCAGGAAAACTGCAATTAGACATTTCCCACAAGTTGTGGTGTGGTTATTAATGTTGGACCGCACGTGGACTTTGCAGACACAGAGGTCTAACGGTAGAGGTGTCATATGATGCACAAGCTGCAAATTCTCCACAATGCAAAACTGTGATGTGAATAGAATTGGCTGGACCTGGACAGACGACGGATTGAACTTTGCATACATGCAGATCCTTTAAGTAATGCTATAGGTGGCGCTCTAAGCCCAAGCAAGTTCGTTTCAACGGCACTCTGTCATAAGCAGAAGTAAAAATTAAAGCGTGAAGGATAAAATACAGCAGAATAAAACTGAATTAGATAAATTTATTAACTCAAACTAAGTCCAGACAAGTTGAATTGAGAGCAAGAGAATAATTAAACTGATCAGCTAGAACAGTAGAAAAGAATGAAAGATTAAAAAAATAAAATAACAAGTAGAAGATACAGAATTAAATAGAAAAACGCATTTAAAATGAAGTGAGTAAAGTGCAGACCAGTTTAATACAGGCTGTGTGATAACATAGATTCAGTGAGAGGAGCAGAAGAAGGAGCGTCCTCAGCTTACGTTTGGGAGCCGGTACCAGCGGCGGGCAGCGTAATGACTGAACACCTCTTCACCCGGCTCTGATCCGAACTCCGATGGTCACATTTGGCATCAAGAGATATGGTTAAACCTAAGAGCTGCAGTAAAATGATTTCTCTTTTAGATTC